TGCTTCGCCATTTTGGTTTTGCTCTGTTTGGCGTTGGTAAGAATACTGAAAAAAGACGGTGGTAAGCCGCTTGTGATTTTGCATTCCACTTTCACCACCATCACCACCACTACCACTTGTTTCCTTGTAGTTGATAGGGATAATACTTTAGTGTTGTCTTTTTCTATCTTCTAACCATGGCGTGAACTCCGACGGACTTCAATGAGTGCGTGTCCAAGGGCGAGCTTACAATGTTCATGACTGAACAACGCAATCTTATGACCGAGCTGACGCGCAACGTGAACAATCTGGTCACCCGCATTGAACAGCTTGTGCAACGCCCTCCACCTTATCATGCTGATGATGAAGATGCGGATGCTTTTGGGGATGAAGATCGTGATGTCTTGGCGGTGGTGCCCGTCGCGCCGCCTCAACTTCAATCGTCATGCGAGATGGGAGGTAATAATCATGGTAATAATGATCCTTTGCTAAAATTAAATTTAGTCTACCTCCTTTTGTTTGTTAATGTTGATCCGAGGTATATTTAGATTGGGAGCTTGTTTGTTCAACAAAAATTTGATTCTCATAATGTTCCCCCCGAGCATAGAGTTAGACTTGCTACTAGTGAGTTTACTAATTTTGCTTTGTTCGTGGAGTGATCTTTGCAATGCCAATAATGTCGCTGCATTGTGCCTCAAACTTGGAATGTTTTAAAGCAACGTATGAAATCTCGCTTTGTTCCTCCTTATTACCAACGTGATTTACGCTTGAAACTACAAACTTTAAAACAAGGTGATAAAGGAGTAGAAGCATACTATCAAGAATTGCTTATTGGTTTAGCACGTTGTGGTATAAACGAAGATGATAATGATGCTAGTGCTAGATTTTTTGGTGGTTTAAACCATGATATACTGAGAACATACTTGATTACAAAGAATGGCGTAATTTTTCCCAATTGTATCATCTTGCTATTAAGGCGAACGAGAAGTACAGGACGCAAACAACACCAGCCTTTCGGGTCTAACAATGGGAGGAATTTTAGCAGCGGCGTTCCGAGCCGAGACGACCAAGCTTCTGTTGCACCACAGCCATCTACACCTCCATTTTCTTCCGGGTAAGTAAATTGTCTAATGTGCGCTTCCACAAATGAAGAAAGGTGCCACTCCGGTGCTTCTACTAGCTCCTCCTCGTCCAACTCTAAAATCATTTGCCACCGATGCAAAGGCATGGGACATGTCATGAAGGATTGCCCCATCGTCAGCGCTTTCATTGTTACCGAGGATGGATATGTAAGTGCTAGTGATGTTGAAGATGATTTAGCCCTTGTCGCTAACATTGATGCAGATCCCACCGAGGGCGATCAAGACAAGGAGGCCATCACAATTGACTCAAGTGGGCCCATGACTACCCTAGCCTTCTTGTGCAACAGGTGTTGAGTACACGTGTGGGACATGAAGAAGAGATGAAGATCCAACGCCAATTTGTTCCACATGTATCTCATTGTGCGGGGTTGTCGTGTTCTCACTATCATTGATGGCGGAGTTGCAACAACTTGGTGAGTTCAGATTTGGTTGACAAGCTTGGCTTGACCACACGACCACCGACAACATTCATATCCATATAAACTTCAATGGTTCAATAATAGTGGTAAGACTAAGGTAACTAAATCAAAGACGCATTAGCTTTTTCACGTGCTCTTATCATGATATCGCTGATTTTGATGTTGTTCCTATGCAAGCTTGTTCCATTTTGTTAGGTCGACCATGGGAATTTGATAATGATGCTTTACACCATGGTAGAACTAATACATACACTATCATACATAAGGACAAGAAAATTACATTGCTTGCCTTTGTCTCCCTACGGATATTGTTAAACATGCTAATGAGATTAAAAATAAACCTCCAAAGAGACATTGCTAAAAATAATAGGATTAAGTTAAAAGGAGGTGCTTTTCTTGCTACAACTTCGCTATCTCTGCTGAGTTATGTGATAATCCTAATGCACCATGTTATACTATGTTTTGTCAACCTTTTATGTCCGGTGCATTGCCCAACTAACCTTTTGCAGGAGTTCGCTGATGATGGGATGGAGTCGAGGACGACTCAATTCTAGAAGGAGGGATGATGAGGACATCGCCATGCTGGGACACACCGACGCCATGGTCTTCCCCAAGTTGCAATTCGCCTCCCAACTCACCGCCACGTCGCCTCAGATTCAGCATATATCGTCATCATCTTTTTCGGTCATAACTTTCTCATACGACATCGAAATGGGCCGTTCTTGGATGCGTTGGAAAGGGACGACGACGCCATCGTTTTGGATCTGGTCCCAGCTCCAGAAGGTCCGTGGATCATTCTGTGTGACCACGGCAAGGTGCTGCGTCACCTATTTGGGCCAACTTGGCCATTATCGTGTCGGGCCTTAAGCCCAAGTTGTGGGCGCCCAACCCCAGCCGTCCCCAACCCTAGGTCGAGTCTTAGACTATAAACACAGCCGTCGCCGCTGCTACACAATTGGGTTTTGTTTAGAGTTTAGTTTTCCATCGAGAAACCAATCGTTCATTGTAACCGTGGTGACAAATCCTTTTACAAAGGATCCAGGGCCCCCGTTCTTGATCTCCTCCACTGTGTCGATTAGTCCTTTGGAACCGAGTTCTAGAACCCTCTATTGATATTCGCGTCATTCATATTTGCAATATCGATTATGCGTTTTTACCTTCTTGCTTGTGCTCTTCGATTCGCTTGCAGGAAAAGCCTTCTTGGCGAGGTCAATCAAGTTGTGCTTGGTTGATAACCAATGGAGCAGTGGTGTAACGGTTGCAGGTTTCGAATCGCGTCTGATTTGAAGCCGGATCGCCAACGTCGAGATCTCCACAAATCTAACTTATCGGCTACCTCTCGGAAGATCGGGCCTGTACTCATCAGCCTAGCCAACGCCGCTTCCGACTCCGACCTGCGTCTCCGACCGGGGATGCACCGAACATCTGCTTACTGCTCTTCTCCGACTGGCGCAGTCGGAGCCGACTGGGACCAACCGACCGGGGACGCCTGCTCGGTGAGGACCCAAGAAACGAGCGGACCAAGTAAGGCAAAACGCTCAAGTCAACTGCAATACCAAGGATCGTACCTTGTACACCTGCAGGACAGTACCGATAGGGCATGTCAGAAGGGTGCCCTGCCACCTTCCAGGCATGTCCAAAACCCAAGCAGTGTTGTGGGCGCCGACGTTTGCCCTACAGTGTTGTGGGCACCCTCAACTCCCATACCAGGCGAACACGGTAAAACCCCCCATGCCTCTAGGCATCAACAGTGTTGTGGGCGCCGTCATTTGCCATACATGGTGAACGCGGTAGAAACCTCCCACATGTGTCTGACATAAACATTGTTGTGGGCGCCTACAATCATTTTGTATCTGACGGTGTGGGCAACAAGACTTAGTAGCATACATAGTCTCTCTCTCACTTGTAAGGCTGTCCCCTTCATCTATAAATAAGGATGCTCTCTCTCCCAATAAGGACGACTCTTAGATGATTGGACCACCAGGACGATCAATTCACAGAGTTGAACAACCTACAATTCCAACGATTCCAACAGAGCATACGCTCAAATACTTAGCGCACGTAGGAGCTCCCGTCTCTCTCGGCCCTTCGGTCCAGAGTCCGACCGGACCTCTTGCACCCCCCATCTTATTCCCTCTCATATGTAACCCCACAACAAACTTCGAGCACCTGGACTCAGGAATAAAGTCACCGACCGACTCAAACTGGACGTAGGACACGTTACCTGAACCAGTATAACCCTGTGTCATTAAGTGCTATGCCACATCCGATCACAACGTACAACAAAACTATAAATATTTACGTGTTGGTCACTTTCTACATCGACACTAGTGTAGGCATAATATTTTGGTAGAGAAAATTCAACGTCTACTTCTGTTATGTCATTGTATTAACTAAGAGTGCATCCATAGAATATGTATCTTTAATAAAACACAAAATGATATTTTAAATAAAAATACAGTAAACACTAAAAAATTCAATTTAGAATCTAGATGAAAAATTTACGGCAACTAATAAGATCAAATCTAGAGCCAAAATCTAGATTTGTGACCACGACACATGGCGGCATGGGCTACAATAGAAGATGATGTACTTAAGCTGAAGTTTTAACTGAATTGATAGCGTTGTATTGCTGATATGCTTATCTTCAGATCTCCGCGCTGCAGAGTATCCCGCTGCGTCCATGCTCAATCGGATTATCCCAATTACTCGATGAATACGTATGTGGAGATTCCTTGCGCTATTTTTTTTTAAAAAAAATTAAGAATTTCCTGAGGAGATAACTATCCACTCAGAGCTAGATGTTCCACAGTACTCCCTCTGTCTAAGTAAGATTTCGATGAGCCAAATGATTTAAAGTTTGACCAAAGTCATATAAAAAATTACCAACATTTATGATACAAGAATACAAGATAAGTATCATTAAATTAATTATAAAATATATTTTAGTAATAAATCCACTTTATATATATGTTGATACTATTCACTCCAACTTTGATCAATGTTAAGCTAATTTGACTCGTACTACTGGTAGTACTATCAATCAATTATATAATTAAAGAGAATCATGCACTGACTCCATAAAGAAACACAGACATTAGGTCATAAGAGAGTTCATATTATTCATAAACAACGGTCACTAGTAGTAGCAGCAGCATGCAAATGCAAATGGTACTAGTAGTAGTAGTAGATACAACAAGCAGGGCATGCAAGGTGACATGCCAAATCAATGGGGCTAGCTCTCTGTCCCTCCTCACCTCTGACACGCATACACGGCTAAGCCAATCACGTGACGATCATCACTTACTAGTAAAACAGCGACAGCATTACGTTACGAACGTTACACTTACGCCAGCAGCGGCGGCTGCAAACAAACAGAGCACTCGTTGAAAGCATGCATGGAGTGGAACGGATCGGCGATGGCGGCCGCGTGGACCCGGAGAGTGCGGCGCGACGACGTTCAGGAGGAGGTTGCGATGCACCCCTCCCAAACGAAAAGCGACGGGCTCAGCTGCCCGCTGCACCGGCGCATGTGCTTCATCAGCTCCTCCTTGCTGCTGTGGCGCTTCGCCGTCATCAGGAGTTTGTTCTCGCCGCACGTGGCGCCGGGGACGGCGTCGTCGCCATTGTTCGGCGGCGCGGCGGTCGCGCTCAGCGCCGAGGCCGCTGCCAGGGCCGCGACCGCTGTGGTGGTGGACCCAGTGGAGCGCCTCGGGGCTGTGGCGCTGTCGTCGATCTCGCAGGAGGTGACCGGCTCGGCGCCCACGAACTTGTTGATGACGAGCGCGGAGCGGTGCACCCGCGGGCCGCTCCCGCTGCGCGCCTGCGGCTGCGCGCTCACCTTCACCTCGACGACCGTTCCCCTGTCCACGACCTCGACCTCATCCTCCTCGTCCTCCTCGTCGGCCTGCTGCTGCTCGGTCTCCGGCTGGGGGCGGGTCCTGTCCACCTCGTCCGAGGCGGCGGGGGCGGGGGGCGCGGCCGTGTCCGCGAACGACAGGAGCAGGCGCCCGCCGCGGCGCTGCGCGCGGAACAGGGTGGACGACGCCACGGGGACGACCTTGACGAGCAGGCGGCCGTCCTGGCGTTCCTGCCTCATCTCCATGGTGGACTCCACCTTGCGCCGCGCCAGCGACGGCAGCGGCGGCGGGAACGCCCTGGGCGGGGCCGCGCGCGGGGCCACCTCCTCCCCCCCGCTCTCGTCGTCGGAGCCCGGGCACGAGCGGTCGGTGGCGGAGCCGTCGGCGTCGGAGAAGCCGTCCGAGCCGGTCTCCGAGCCGAGGCTCTCGGTGCAGATCTCCAGACTCTTCTGCGTCAGCAGGCTGGACGAGCGGCGCACGAGCGGGTGCACGTACGGCGCCTGCGCCTGCGCCTGCCTGGGCGCGGCGGGCGGCGGCTTCTGCGCCTGGATCATGTTCCATATGTCGTCCCTCTCCGCCGGCCGGTCGTCGTCGCCGCCGTGGTCCGTCTCCTTGAGCATGACGGCAGCAGCCTTCTCGGCGCCAGCAGCGGCAGCCTTGCCGCCAGCGCCAGCGCCCTGCTCGACGGCCTGCTGGCACGGGAGGAGCTGCTGCTCGGTGGTCTCGAACACTGTCAGTGCCATGTCTCCCCGGTGGAAGTGGAAGCGGAGGAGAAGGCTCGCGCCGCGGTGGAAGTGGAAGGCTTCTGGCTTCAGGGGCTTCAGCTGGGGATCGGGGAGGTCACACGATAAGAAGAAGAACGGCAGGGGCGGGGTATTTGTAGGGCGCCGAGGCTCAGCCTCTGCTCACCGCACACCCCCACTGCCAACCACTAGCATGGAGAGGACAAATACCTTTGCCCCTGTGAGGGGCCCCTCCGTGACATATGCGCACTCCATTCGGGCATTTCAGAAAAACGTTGAAAACGTATGATGTGGTTTATCCGTCTGTACTTATCAAGGTCTTGTATATAAGTAACTTGACATTTTCTCGAGCCGTCGCACAGATTGCTGGAACGAAGTGGCGTACAGAGAAATTCCTTGTCTGAATTGGGGCTTTGGCTTGTTGCTGGCTAATTGGAACAGAAATTTCTTTTTCAATACACATTTGTAGCCCACGACGGCACTACTGCTGCTACTGATCATGGTCTTTGTAGTAGTAGTAGTAAACTAAACAAGGAAAGGAAGAACTTGAAGCCGTCGCAGCAAATTGTTGGAACTGCATTCGTCATTTAGAACAGATCAGACGTGAATTGATGCTCGCAAGTTCCATGAGCGTATCATTGTAACAGCCGCCACCTCTCTTTCAATCATTTGGGTAGCCATTCCGTCATCGTTCTCCTGTGATTTATCATGGTCTATGTAGTAGTAGATGTAAGGGGTGAAAGGAAGAAAGAAAACGGGCCAGCAAATTGTTTAGCTTGTATTCGTCATTTATCTAATCACAGATCAGACGTATGGCGTAGATGCTCGCAAGTTCCATGATCAAATTCAATGCGTTATTTTTTTATCCGCATTTAATACTCCATTTATATGGGGCCAAAGATTTGATCGTTCTTCAGTGATTTAAAAAACTTGCCTCTAAACAAGGGCTTGATAGAGTTTCGTCTGGATCTAGTAATTCTCTGTAGAAAGTGACTTTGATGAGAAGTGCTTCTTTATGATTCTCTAGAATAAATTATATATGAAAAATAATTCCATTTTGGGAAGTGAATCAAGAGTAGTTCTTTAAGCTCATAGACCACGAGTCATTTCAGATAATCAGTTTATATAAGATCCATATAGAATTATTTCTGGACGCAGGGAGTACTGTTTGGTAGAGCTCACAGACCCTGGTTTTGAACGGCTTCCTGCGTGGAGCAGTAGCTTCAATTCGGGTAACCACTAACCACCACCCTGGTTTTGAACGGCTTCTGCATGAGTTTAATCGAGTGCCGAATTGACTCTCTTAATGATACACGTGCATGGCTTGAGAAGACGATAGAAGTAGCTAATACGGAGTAGGAACGTGCGTCCATCAATCCAATTCTCCTAATCTCTTATACCTTACGATAAAATTCCGTTCCTGGCATATGCAGCGTCTGGCTCTGAGCATACGACGCTAGCTAGCGCCGTGCCTGTGCGTGCGAGACAAATGCCCGATTAGCGCGCAGCCCAGAAGGATCCAAGCCACGCTGGCGCTGCCGAGCAGCTTCCAAAGACCCCGGAATAGAGCCTTGTCACCACGCACTGCAACGCCGCAACGTTCGCCACTTCGCCCTACCACGCTACGAATCCTCCTGCCGCCGCTTGCAGCTGTGCAGTGCAGGGCGCTGAGCCGGGGGCGGCGTGGGATTCACCCGATCCGGCTCGCCCGTTCCAGCGCGCGAGCGTGTCGATCGTGTCACCCCGCTCCACGCATCCTCCACACGCGAGCGGGCGGAGGAGGACACATCGGCGGGCCACGAGTGACAGGTGGGACGGACATGACAACGCGGAGGGGAAGACTTGGGTGGCGGAGTGGTTGCGCTGATGAGCAGCTACTGTTTCTTCGGTTCATTTTCTGGAAGTTGGCGCCTGGCGGGGCTACGGCGCGGCAGGTTCGCCCGGATGCCGACGCGCGACGCTTCACGCCAACCCCAGCTAGCTCGCGGGTCGCGCAACGTGCCTGCCCATGGCGCCTGAGCTGGTGTGCACTCGTGCCCGGCATGTTGCCAACGGCCCCGAGCCGTGGCCGGCCAGAGCGCGCACGGAACGAACGGCTGAGCGCGCTCTGGCCGGCCTTTCCTAGCTTCATTACGGACAGGACGGAGATGGGAAATGTGTGCTACCGCTAGCTAGTGCATCCTTCGCCTAACCTTTCCGCTTTGCCACATTTGTCGAAAGCATTGTTACTCTCGCCCTTACCTTCGTGCATCCCCCACTTGGCAACACAAACCGTGCAACTTCCTTGTGCACTTTCACAAGCAGAGGGGTGGTGGTGGAGGAACTAGGAAGAACAGGTTTCTGAAATCTGTATGCACCGGTTGCTCTCGATACTCGTCGAAACCCACAATCCCGTGACACCTAAATTGCCAAGCAACCAACGTGAGGCCTTGAAGAGAACCGATCGAGAAAGACAACACGCGATCTGCTCGCCTTAGTCCATCTCCGAAGATTTTTATTGGGCCGCTGGAAAAAAAATGCGACCCTCCTGTGTTATTAGTTCTTACATGTGCGTTATGCACGGGCGCGTGTCAGCGCTACGAACGATAGAATGGGAGGGTTGGCGACTTAGCGCGCCTCTACGCCCGTAGCTAAGATGGAGGACGTCATTACCTTACTCATGTGGTGATGTCATAATGCCACTTGTTTAAGGACTTTGTTTATAAACTTGTTTTTGCATCAATCCATATATGTTAGAGTGAGATGAAATAGAAATTAGTTATTTTTTCACTTAAATACATGTAGATAGAGACCGATACAAGTACGTCTAAACAAGATCTAACTGTAACGTACTCCAGTAATCGAATGGCATAGTTACTCACCATCTGTAACGAAGTTTGCGTGTAAATAAAACTTAGAAACAAACTACGACAACTATGTGTCTTTGGCTTTTGTAGTATATATAAGAAAAAAAATGATTGACGGTTTACAAGGCAGTCCAAAACAACTGTTCCATCCTAAGATAGTAATGCAAAGTACTTCTTTTCCGGATCTAAGTGGAACGCACATTTTTTGGGGGAGCAAGGCAGCAAGCAATGGAAAGCACATCGGGCGCACTTAGTTCCAATGACGCCTTTTGCCTCACCCGACGCAGGAAATGAGAACCTTGCCCACTTGGGAGAGCTAATCGAGCTCTCCCACGAAAGCGAGGCAAACCTCACCAGCGCAGTCCACGAAGAGTTTGAGCAAGGAAAGTAAACAAACATCCTTCCTCGCTATCCTCGCTCGGCAAGGTGCCACGGTGCCGGGCGAAGGATCTAAGCGCACCCTTGATTTCTCCTCCGATCCATCCGTAAGACCGTAACGCGCTGTTTAATTTGCCGGCAAGGTGATGCAGACCGGACTACTGGAGATTGCGCATGTGCGGAAGAGCGACGAGCTGCGAAACTGACCAACCAGAGGTCGCCACGAGCCTACGAACACAGCACCTATTGACAAGCCGGTGGCGCACCAGTCGGGTTACTGCCGGACACTGCTTTCTGTGCAGCTAGACAGCAAGGACGTACTAGTACTAATCGCTCGCGTGTGGGTAGGTGCGAAAGTAGTAGAGTACGAGGAGCCCGGTACCACGAGCAAAAGTTTGGCCTGCCAGCACTGTAGATCCGGTCGTTCTCCTTTCTCCTTTGTCAAGGCTGGAGGCATTCTCCTCTCCTTTGGCGATCCCCAAGCCGACCATCATGTAAAAGTGTTTCAGCAGCAAATTCAGTTTTGGGACCTTTATTTTTGACAAGACAGTATTTGTAACTTTGTAATCCCCAGCTTGTGTTGTTCGTATCCGTCATTCCATCCATCTCCGGAATCCAGATGATGAGGTCCCACAGATCGCTATTTTCTCGGGAGGTTTTTGAGGGATGCTTGGGGCAGCTCGTGCCACGTGTCGAGGCCCAGCGCCGCGAGGGATGAGCGAACGAATGAGTGGAAGCCGAACGGGTTGTTCTGTTGGTGCAGTAGTGTCTCCTTCAGCTCGGCTGGAAGAATAACGGTACAGTTGTAGCATCCATCTCCTTCAGTTTTAAGATTCCGACTTAGCTCAGAGCACATAATAGCAGTCTGATTAACAATTTTCCGCATTAGAGTAATACGTATAGGGGTAAATGAATGAATTCAATACTTGTGTGTGTGAATATCGTTAGAATTTTTGAATAAATGTGAGAGAACAAACATAAACAATTTTATTTGTGACTCCACATTTATCCATGAATCTCTAACAATTATATATATTATATCTCCTATAATTATTAGCTTGTGCAGGAGCATGAGTCGTACTATTGTTATTGATACGTTTACAACCTTTGTTTTGGTCGTCATGAAATAAGCGATCCAATCAAGGTGCGTTAGCAAAAAAAAAAGGTTGTTTAATTTTTGTTTTGGGTTCCTCCTATCCTATTTTTAAGAGCTTGGGGCAAAGGTCCATCCATCTTCCTAAGACCGGTGACACAAGATCTAGCTAACGTCCCGCGAGAGCGTCCTCCCCAACTTCGTCCCAGTGAGCGTGACCCTGCCGACGACCGTTCTCGCAAGCACAACCTCCTCGTCCGCCTATCGCCTTTGTGGTCATCTTTCTTTCGTGGCGGTTGGCTCTGGTTTCTCCGTTCCCGGTCACCGATCGCCCAAGCGGTTCAAATCCCGTCCATGAGACCTCCAACCACCCCACACATATGCCCAGCCGCTAACCAATAGAGTGAGAGGGAGCGATAGGGAAGGAGAAGACAAAGGAAATGTCAAAATTAAAAAAGTGTCGATGGCAAATGGATCTCACTTGTCATAAAGAAATTAGGGACCTTGATTTAAGGACTACTGTTGTAGTTGAGATGCTCAAATTAAAGTAGAGACTCCGATTGAGGCGCCACGGTTTCTCTTATCTTAATCTCGATGTTTGGAGTACGGGCTCTAGAGCGGGGCTTTGGTTTTTACCGGGCATGGTACTAAAGTACTCTCTTCACTACATAAGAGAACGTTCA